TGTGGCTCCTCAGGACGTGGGATGTCCGAGCAGTCATCGGCCACGGGGCTTGATGGTGTGTTAATGAGCGTACTTGATGGCTTCCAGTTCACAAACAAGAAATCCTCCAGTTCTGTGCCGGCAGGTATCTCTCTGCAGTGCCCGTGCCGGCAGTGAGAGCCTTGAGCATCCCTCGGATCAATCGGTCGCAGGAACCCTGTCGTCTCACATGACCGTTTTGCAGGACAAACTCGCTTCATGCACACAATGTAAACTGCTGGCTGAGAATTACCAGGAGGGTGCGGGCAGACTTCTGGTTCCGAACGTACGCAAAATTTCGAGAATTCGAACTGATCATCTGAGGTCTCAAGAGTGATCAAGTTGTGTCAGCAATCTTTCAGCCCCAGACACGTGGGTGGGCAGGTTTCGCCCGAAGGCCAATGCTCTATGCCGACGGAGCTTCGGGCGTTTCAACTTACGAGGTGCGATGCGGACCTGTATCTTCGGATATACGGGGCTTGATTTACACTAGATACACACTTGTTGTTCGGACTTGCTATGCTGAGCCGGATTCGACCCTAGCCTCATGAAGCCCCAGAAGCCTGGAGAAAGAACCCTGAACGAACTGCCCAAGCACAATAGAATCAATGGAACACCTCCCTGCCTCGGTGCAGTGCAAACCTGAGGCTCCAAATCTCCATCCGGCTCTGCAGCAAGGTGGCTTGGCCACGTTGCCATCAGGGAAAGCTCCGCAGTCAGGTTTGCTGTGCTCCAGAGCAGGTTCCACTCAAAGGCATCCTCACCGGCATCGGAGAAGCACGCTGCCAGAATGAGGGTTCTGAGGTTTAGGGCCAAGAGTGTTGGGTCTTGGGTTTTGAATGTCTCCGGGCACTGGGTCTTGTCCCCAAGGCGTGCTCTTTAGAACTTCACATTGGGCGGGCAAGTGCTGCCTGAAGGATTTAAGGGTTGTGGTGGTCTCGTGAGGCAGCAGCTTACGCATCCTCGGGATGTGAAATGCCCCAGTTCCCGGAACCTCCTCTTCGGGATCTTCCGCCAAATCGACATTCGCGCGAACAAGCATACCTCTGCAATACTGACAGTGAGCTCGTTCAGCTGAAACATGGAACTCCTTGTTCTAAGATGCTCTCTCCATGCCAGGAGCTCAAGCCGATTATAGCCTTAATAGCACCATCTATATCGAACTGAGTTCGTCCCATCCTCCAGTGCAGTTTGAAAGGGCTTCAGAGCATGGGGGATTCAGAGCATCTTGCCCCCCGTCCATGGTGCCTCACTCACTTTCCCCCTAACCTCCCGAGACCCTGAACCGAGCCGCTCCAAAGGTCATCGAGCTCCCGCCGTTCACGGGGCAGGTTCGCACGCTCAGTGAAGAGGTCGGCCTCACGCCCAAAAAACGGGTGATTTAAAGAAGGACTGCGCTTTTGCAAGAGCTTCTGGAGCTCCATGGCTCAGAAGGACGAAAGCCTGGCCCCAACTCAAGCTGACCCTCTTACTCTTTGTTTGCATTAAGAGCCCAAATCCCACGAAGCTGGGGCTCGATACATGTCGAGTTGCTTTCACCGACTCCTTCGTGCTGTTCTCGAAGGGCTGCATGTACTGTCCAGGAAATGGCTTTGGACAGAGCTCAGGCAGCATCAGGAAAATGCCCTCAAGCCAGCCCAGCTTATCGAGACATGGACTGCCCGGCACTGAAAGGCACCTACACTTACCCTAAAGCATCACAATATCCCCGGGATGCGCATGCATCCGCTCTACCTAACTGGCTGGAAACTTGGGGTCTGGAGAGATCGAGCGATGAAACAGCTTATGGCTTAGGTCCTAGGGTCTGTAGAATGCATGGGCTCCTTCGCCACCTGTTGTTGCGCGACAGCAAGTTGCCCCGGGCCGAAGAAGCCGGCACCGGCCGAGTCTGCCTCCTTCGTGGTTCAGGGACTGATTCACAAGTTCTGGGGTATTATGGCGCAACTTGTAGCAACTTGTACCAGCTTGGGATCCTTCTTCCGGGTTCAACACAACCTTGATGTATGAAGCACCATCCCATCCAAGTAAAGCACCTGTCTTTGGACGATAAGAATGCCTCGAAACGCATACAACCTAGTAACCAAAGCCGGCCAAAGGTCCTCGGTGCAACCCAGGTCTGATGCACAGAAGGCCACGACAAAGGGCAGCATGCTTGGGCAGGGCCTTTCCGAAGTTTCCAGAGAAAAGGCGCTCAGGGAAAAGCGGCTCAAGATCGTCGTGGCCCAGGGCCCTAAGGATTGTTGCGTTGGTGGGGTTTTGCTGCCTCTCCTCTCCTCTTGTCCACTCCCTTCGTCGGTTGTCTAGGCTCAACTCCTTCAACAAAGCCTCCCACCTCCTACCCCCCTCGAAACCACTTCGAAGCTTTCCCCCCCCCCCCCCCGTACCTGGCAATATACGGCTTGCTTTATCGGCCACACTCACTTGTTTCCTTGCGACATACCCACTACGTGCACCGACGGGTTGCCATGACTACAAGCCAGCTGTGCAACCCAACAGCCAGCAAGACAAAGATGATCAAGCTCCATTCCACTCCGGCGTTCCGTTCCGTTCCCGCCTCCGGGGTGATATTTGGCCTCCCGCCTCTAAAGATGGAAACCCAACCCCTCGGCTGTTGGGAATTTAAAACCTTCAGTTCACAACTTGCTATCAGCCCTGATGCTTCTTGCTGCGCCTGGTCTAAAGTGCAGTCCTGCTGCAGGCACAGGCACAGCCACGTGTGAGACTTGTAGCTGGTAAGGAGAACTCCCTCTGTAACATCTCCCAGTTCCTCTCACACAAACAAAATCGGCTTCGGCCTGGACAGTACGGGAAAGTGCTCCACGCCATGCCCGTGCGCCTGTGCAAGTTTGTAACCGGGTCAGTTCATTGCCTATCCAACCCCCAAGTACCGATTTGACTTGGATAGCAACCTATGTTCAGCCCGTGGGACTCAAATCCTGGAAACTATTTTGCCGACAAGCATGCCCGGGAAAGCCTTGCGGTGACAAGCATGCCACTCAACCACAACAGCGAAGATCCCTAAGCTCTCAACCCCTGTGTTGTAGTCTTCCTCCTGAATTTCATAGGAAATGCCCCGCATAGCCTAAAATCCCAGATATTCCCAGTGCCCGGCTTTCAGCGCTGCTGCCCAGATCTTGTCTGTGAAGACGGGCAGCTTGTCGTTCCCCGTGTCCTACAAGGCTCAAAGGGTCAAGGGGCATATCCTTTCACCCACACGCACAAACTATCAGCTTCAGAGGCCTTACAGTCGGGCTTGCGCATAATCCTGTCGGCGCACAATCTCCGCCCCACTCTGCTTTGGAGCGCCCTCGCCCTGCATGGCCACAGGGTGCCTAGACTGTCCCATGACAATAAATGAGGCTTACATGTCTCTTCGGACCCAAGCGGCCCAAGAATGCGCCCTAAGCGTACATCAACCCTTCAGGTCAGGTGGGGTCCTCCGAGATCACCCGGTTGCCGGTAAATGAGCACTGCAGCTGCGAAAAGCGCTCGGCTTCCGTGGCAGAAGCATTCCTAACAGGGGGGGCTGCCACTGTGACTGCTTCGGCTCTCACTCTGCGCTATAATGGTACTTCATTGCCTTGAAAGGCATTGTCTTGGCCAAGCAGTCCATAGTGCATCGACAGGTGGATGGTTTTGGCTAGTTTTGAATTATGCTTGGGAGGCCTACCTGTTCCCCAGTGCCCTCCGCTTGAAACAATACACACCCCGGCAGAAACATTGGGGGCAACAAAGACTGCAGTCTACGGCACAGTCCACATCCCAAGCCTGAAGGGTTGAACGGTGAACTGTTCGGGGCTCAGGGCTGAGGATCGTTTTTGACCCACCTCTGTCGATATTTCTTGTCAAGGTGCTTGCCCATAGTCTTCACCTCATCCTGCTCCTGGAAGTTGGTTCCAAAACTTCGGGAGAAAACCTTCGGAGTAAAAAGATGATTAATAGGACACGTCCAAGCTGCGTTGGACTAGAAGCCCAAATGCAACAAGCGCCTGTCCGCAACAAAAAAACATCCGGCAGAAGTTTCAAAATCGAGAAATCTGCGGGGCTGGAGGCTCTGAGACGACTCGGAACCTTGCAAGCTTGCTGGCACTGAAACAACTGTAATGAGACATGGCTTGGCAGCGCAGGTTTGCTGCAGGTAGCAAAAAGCAGAAAGATTCCGCACAAAAGCTGCATAAAGTTTCCTCAAGCAAAACCGCCATTCGGCACGAACAAAACCACGCAAGCAACTTCGCCAGAAAAAAATGGAACGCATGCCTAATAGCTAAAACCTTAATAAACCTCCAACCCCTACGCCTAAACCCCAAGCATCTCAATCCCTAAGCCCAGTCAATCAAGCCCGCACCCCTACCACTGACCCGAGTGCCACTATCATTCACCCTGCTAAGCCTACACTACAAAAGCACAAACATGAAAACACACAGCACACAAGGCACCAAACAAGCACAACAGACCACCACAGAAATAAGCCACAAACATACAAATACTCTCGACTTAAAAAGCACCAGAAAAGCACCAAAAAAAGAGAGGCACAAATACGTCAAAAACGACAACAAGAAACACAAAAAAGGCCACTAAAGCATGATCAGAAAGCAGAAGCAGGAGGCAAAGCCTTTCCTTTCTAATTCCTCTTTGAGAGCCACCTGGCCCCCTGGTCCGAGGCTCCCCAGGTCTTGCCCTCAGACCTCCCGTGCCTTTTTCTCCAGGCTCTTTGAGCTCAGCCCAATGGCCGGGTTCGAAATTTGCGCAATCAAGAGAAAAACAAACGCGCCTTTCACCCGTCCGTGGCCCTTGCCTTGCCTTGATATTGTCCCGTCCTTTCTCTTTTTCCCAGGATTGTTCATGTTTGCTCAACATCGAAGTCTCATGTGCCTTGAGACATGGAAATAAGTCGGTGTAGGCTTGCCACCAGGCCCACAACAAAACGGGATGAGGCTTGACAGCTCAATCTGAAAAAGTGCTTCCTGAAGCCATTTCCACATTCAACAAGCACAAGAAGACCGAGAGAGCGAGATTAGCGAGATCAAGACAAAGATTGAGGGACGGATGGGCCACAAGAAAGAAAATAGAGAGTGCACATGCACACCATCAAAGCCAGACATAGCTTTGCTGTGTAACTGCGACCCAGCATGCCCCCAGGACCTCTCCTCCTTCTCCAAATCTGCCAAGCCCATGTCAAGGCAGCTACCCTTTCCGGCACACTTCAGGGAGCTCATGAGGCTGTCGTAGCTGTACCTTAGCTGAAGCCTCACCCTCAAGCCTGAGCCGTGGGAAATGTCAGGGCGGTGGAAGCGTGCTCGAGGGATAATGGATAAGGGCATACAGTACTATCTCACTGCATTCCTGGAAGCCAGGGTTGAAAGAGGCTAGGTTTTGAAAGAGGGCTCTTGAAGCCATGGACATCGCAGTCTGGAATCCGCATGGGCTTTTTCGGGAAAGTGGCGGTACCACCAGTGTCCACACAGCGCAAAATCCCCACAAGGGTCGACCAACATGGAGGGGGGTACTGAACACTTTCAGAGATTCCAGAAACTTCGATGGAGCTTATATAGGGTACCAAACATAGGCGCGTACGATTTGGATCAACGCCCACATGTCTTCCAAGATGCCCCAGGTCGATAGACCCGAAGGTCCCCGCAGCATTGTGCATCAGCGGCCACCATTGCTGCGAGAGCGCACCTCTGGAGGATCTGAGGATGTCAGCCGTTTTTGAGGGGGCGCTGGGTTTGGAATTGTTGAATGCCGGGGTGCTGCTTCAGCAACTCTGTCACCCTCGGGGTTTTTAGGATTTCGGGCACGGGCGTCGGGGCCATTGGAGCTTCGGGTTTTATCCTCCTCCCCAGATGCCTTGCATCAGCCGCTGGTACGTCCTCGCCGCGCATGCCATCAGTGGGGCCTCGTGCGTGCCTTAGGGGCGAAGTCTCCGGAGCCACAACAAAAGGTTAAAAGCGCTGAAAGAAGCCTAGGGTGTTTGAGCAGGACTCCCTCGAGTAGCTTTCATATCGCTGCCTTAGAGACATGCGAGCTTTTTTGCTCTCGAATGATGTAAGTGGGTATCGTGACTCCCAGGTGCATTTGTCGAGGTAGGGCTCGCGAGCCTCGCGCAAAGCTTCCAAGCATCGATCCTGCGCGCAGTGACGTAGTGACAGTCTGAGCGCTTGAGGCTTTCGGTTTGAGGTTAAGGCTTCTGGGATTCTGGGGTTTAGGGGCCCTACCTGCGGCGTTTGGGTTCCAATGGTTTTGCCGTTTGGTTTTTAAGGTGAATGTCAGAAAATACTCAATAGCACTAACAAAGAGAAAATCTAACCATCCAAAGCATAAAGTAGGAAAGCCTATAGACTGTAGCCCCAAAGCCTGAGCCTAACATCATCTGCCCTTTAACCGCAAAAACTGTCAAGCCAGACACGTGCTCATACAATCCACAGCGACGAAGAAGAAAAGAGGCTCAAACAATGAAATTGATTAGGGATTGGATCTTAAAACTTCAAGCCTTGCGTCTTAAGCCCCACACTCCTAAACCCGAACTAACCCCCACCCCACCCTAAACCCAGCCGAGGCCATACTCCCTGTCCGTGGAACTTCGAAGCAGGCCGTTGGAAGGGGAGGCGGTGATGGAGACGCTGGGAATCCTCAACTCTTGGCACTTTGGGCTGTCTGTAGGATTTCGGGCTTTGGATGGCCGAATCAACGCAATGCAAAGGCCAGCTACAACTTCCGGGGGCCAGCTCGAGGGCCTGCTCGCTGCGAATGCGAATTTCAGGGACCGAGCGACAAAGAACTTGTCTACTGCATTTTTACCTCGCAGTCGCAGACAGCAGTCAAGGCGGCAGGCGTTCCACAGTTCACGGTTCGCGTTCTCGCAACTCGGACTTGCCAGGCGAGGATGCATTGACGGCTCGGTAGTTGCAGATCTGGAGGACGTGCGGGCGTACTAGTCGTCTGCTTCAGTTTTCGTATGGCGGCTTCAGGTTTCTTGCTTCATGACTCGCACGGTGAAGTGGCGGGCTCAGGCTGTGACATTCACCATGAGAAGTTCGTTCCAGCTATGACTGTGCCGCATCCTTGCGCCCGCGATGCTACTTGTTCTCAAAGCTATGACACGAGCCTGGCCTCAAAACACGGACAAGCCTGGGCTAATTGCTGCTTGTGTTTGGTTGACGTCGTGCAGGTAAGATTCAGCCTCAAGAAAACGACGTAATTAGGACAGTCCATTCTGCAACCACCCCAGAAATCAATTTCTCACCATGCATGCTCTCGATATCTCCCAACCACTAGCGTCCATTGTGCGCGTGTCCACTTTGAGTGGTCCAAGTCGCAGGGAGTGTAGCGCTCCGACAATGTTCAAAGACACAGCATGAACAATGGCGGCGCCAATGTTCCTTGGCGGCTTGCCGTCCCAAAATGCGAAATTGTGCTGGCATGAAACTTCATGAAACTATACTCAACATGTTGGGGGAGCCCCCTCTCAAGCACTATTCCGGGAGAAGCAAGGCCAAAGAGCCATCAGTTGAGGCCGGCTGTTGGCCCGAGATTGGAGCACTTTCACTGAGGCTTCGTGGTCAGTTGCGACGCCAATCTACAGCAGGCTCAATGCTCATGAACTCCCTGTGCAGCTTGATCAAAGCCGAGGTACGGGAAGGCAACAACCAAGGACAGCGACAGAACCACGCTCCGGGAAGAAGCCTCAAGGACCTCTGCGAAGGTTAACGTGCGCCAAGGATTTCGGGTGCTTCTTGGAGTGTTTGTAGAGATCAACGTTTCAGCCCACATCGACATTGTTCTTGCCACCAGCTTGTTGGCTGGGTGGGGGGGAGCTGACAAGCGCGTGACTTGGTAAGATGTCCAAGCCCCAGGCTCCCTTGCACCACACTAACCAAAAGCCCAATGGCCCCTCATTGCCCTTGAAGAAAGGATGTGAAGTACTGCAAGACCCTAAAGGCCCTGTCGGAATCTACGGAACCGGTCCATAAATCCAGCACTTCAGCTTTCTCATCTCAACACGAAAGAGAAACTAAGTTTAAGCTACTCTCAAGGCCACCCGGCGCTGCCCTTTAAAACGGAGGGGGGGGGAGGGGTGGATGGAAGTGATATCGCTTGCAGAAGCACTGAAGCACCTCGCGGCAGTCCTTGTTGTGCTTCATGCCTGGCAACTTCTGCTCAAACTGCTGCTGCTGCTTCACCTCGGGCTTTACGTGATAGAAACGAAACGAACACTTTGGCAATCGAACAAAGGACCGGAAACTCAACGGCCCGTCCTCGGCCTTTGCGGTCATCACAGCACAGAGGGCTGCTTACCCTGGAGCTAGAAACTTCAGCGCCTGGTTTTTCGGATACTGGCGACACTTTCAGTCGGGCCCCTCAAGTCATCAGTCCAGCTTCTGCCGCCCGGATGACGTCGCAGCCCTCAACATGAAGTCATTCTTGAGCCCAGAACACTCAAGGACAAGTCACGGTCTCCGACTCAACGTTGTGCCGAGCTTTGGCCAGCAGCTCCTGCAGGAAGCAAAGCAGGAAAATGCTTCCTGAACCTCTTCACAGTATCCTGTGTGCTGGGTCTCGGCGCTACTTGACCCGTTTAGCGGCAGGCTGTGTCAAAACTGAAAAACCCCAAAATCCTGCACCCGGCTAAGGCCCTGAACCCTGTGCTCTCCGTTTGCCCGTGTAACCGCAAACTACAGCTTTACCAAGACTCGAAAAGCGAAGAGCATTCTCAGCCTCTGCGTCCCAGAGTTTTTGCAAAGCAGCTACTGTACTGTGCCAGATGAGGGCACTTGGGTTCTCAGGTTGAAGGAGGCAAAAATCACGGTTCTACGAGGATTTCAGTGCAGGTTTTTTCAAAGGCCGGTTCTGAATATTTGGATGAGATCACAGTATGGAGTTCGTGGGCTTCGAGCCCGGTATCTTGCAAGCACCACCCGGAGTCCTCCTCGCCAAGCTCTGCCTGCTCCAGCTTCTGCTGCAACCTCACATGGTGAGCTGGAAGCGGCAAAGCCCTAAGACCACCACGCTTCAAGTGCCGAGCCCTGCCCTCCTTAACTATCATCCTTGCGAACTTTGCGCAGAAGCGCCCGTTTCCCCAGGCTCATGCAGGCTACTGGGCCCACTTGGGTTTAGGAATAAAGGGCTTATGTTCGGACATGAAGCCATGTTGCGGTGCAGAACTTTACGAGAATGGCTGTTGAGGCCGCAGCCCAAGGCAACGTGAACATGCACATCTGCAAGTCCAACGCTGTTGATCAACAGCCTACCAATCCCTCTAAGCGGCCACACCCATCTGATGCAGCAAGAAACACTCGGTTCCTAACCAATAAGCCGAAACCCCCTTCAAGAGAAGCCCAGCTGCAGAGAGAGATGGCGCTCTGCCTCCGCCTGGGGCTTGGTTGCCTGAGATTCAGCAAGGTTGCTTTATTGAGGGCTTCGGGTTTAGGATCAGCTCGAGTTGAGGGTTTAAGATATCGGGCTGAGGGCTTGAAATTTCGGGTGGGCGGGGGCGAGGGGGGATTTCATCAGCATTGAAGCTTCGCGCGGGCCCTACATGTTGGTTCAGTCTCTGCTTGAACACTCAAGCGGAGCTGTAGTGCGGGGTTCTAGCTGTGTGTCATGCAGTGAGGTTCAGGCCTTTGCGGGTGTCGCGGAAAACCAGGCCACACAAAGACACGACCCTAACCTCACAACCATTCAAAGCTATTCCCACAAGCCACAACAAGCCCCAATCCGGAAGGCCACACCCTGAGACCCATGACTGAAGGGTTCAGGAGTTCTGCCGCCCGCGCTGCCAACTGCTTCCACAAGGCGTCTTCCACCATTCTCAGGTGATCCGCCTCTTCTGCTGTGTCTGCTTCGTGCGCCTCGGGAAGGGTTTATATAGTCACAGCGTGTCGAGCGGAAGAGGCATGCAGCATGTGACAAGGCTTCAGTTTAGTAGGTCTGCACGATACAGTACATGCCCACTCTGATAGCATGTTCAGACTCGTTGGCAAACGAGAAGAGAAGATCCTTCCTTCGAACCCCTCGCAACTCAGGTGGAATGTAAGGTGGAGACCTCCAACAAGGAACTGTTCTGGTGGCTGGTGGGGAAGTACGCATCAAAACGCTGCTGCATCTCCTGCCGCCGAAGTACGAACGCAGAGGGGCAACTCGAAGCACACAATTAAAGGATGTAGGGCTGGGCTGTTCTCATCACACTCAGAACGAAACCTCGAACTAAAGGCCACACACTGGGCCAGACACACCCAGAATTAGTCGGTTGACCCGCTGCAAGGGTATCGAGTTTTGCGGGGTTTGAGAGTTTAGACTTTCTTGGCTGAAGGCAAAAAAAATCGGTAGCAGTACCACGGGCCTCTCGAACGGAGGACGGGGCGTAGCTGTACCTGAGGCAAGCCCGAATGGCAGGTTGAGCATCTCTCAACAAACGAATATCGGGGTCTTTCGGCTATGTATAAAGCCTGCCTGTCGGTGCACAAGCCTGCTGAGCACCCAGCCACCTTTGCAAAGCCGCCTTGCACTCTTTAATGCTATACATGCTCATAGCATAGCAAGACTGCGCGAATTCTCCGACTGGAACGTCCTCGAGCCCAAACTAAACTTGGGCATCAGAACCTGTTCGCAACCGTTTAGGCACGTCTACAGCCGCAGCTAGTGTTTCGCTTACAGAGACTCAAGCCAAGCTGTCAAGACACCCGAAAAGGTACTGCTTGATGGCTTGGAGCTTCGCCACAACCTTCCTGGAAAGTGCGGTGCAGATATCTGGAGCTTTCGGACATGTGGCATGTCTGGATGGTCTTCTGAATTTCTCATCACGATCACATTAGAGAAGAATGAAACAAAAGCCTTGATGCTACGGCCCCGCATCTCAAGAGTCGTGGTCCTTACCGCCATCTTGATCTTTTGCCACAGGCTGCCTTGGTCTGGGCCAAGATCGAAATCCTCTAGTCCAAGCTTCAAAACCTGACGTCCCTGTGTCGCAGGGCTTAGCAGTTCAGGGTTTGGGCTGAGCGAAAAAGGCCTTTAAGGATAGAATGGATAGGGCTTCTTTGTGGCTGCGTAGGACGCGTAGGGTTCTAGGGCCCACCAGGGCTTGCACTCGCACATTGGCAGACACCCACTGACACGAGATGGAACAGCCAAGGTGTAGTGTACTGCAATGGCCCAGTGTCATCATGCAGGCACCACGTGGAACCCTGACATCTTTTGCAGTATCCATGTACCGGATCAACCTCGCCTCACCACTGCCACCATGCGGCGGACCTTGGCGAAGGCGGCACACACGGTACACCTGGCCAACGAAGTCGAGGCTGCAGCGACTGTTTGCTGGCAATGAATGCCCACGGCATATCAACTGTGCGCTGTAAGTTTCATGCAGAACAGACTGTACTTCGAACGACAGCAGGATCAGGATCCGCGAGTGTTCCTGATGCACATGTTATGCGTTATGTACACTCTGACACGCTCATCCCTCCGATGGCCTGCCACAAACCGCCATCTGCTGCAAGAAGGCTGCTGGGACACCCAGCCACGAAGCACGTCTGAGATTACACAGACTCGCGAGATCACAGAGACTCGGGCTCGTGCGCAAAATTATGCATCGAGACCTTCTTCAACTGAAGCCCAAATCGTAAGAGCCAGCCTCCAAAGTGGCGACCTGAAACCCTGAAGAGATAGAACCTGTGAACCTCAGGTCTCTTTGTCCGTGCTGCTTGAAGGTTGCGTTGTACTGCTCACGGCAGTTCCGTCGGTCGCTGGCACTTAGGTCCTGCAGAAAGCTCACTCTATTCCCCCCCCAAAAAGGGTTCGTCAGTTTTCATGTCGAAGTAAAATTGGTTTTTCGGCACCTCTGCACTGAAACTCAAATGGCCTGGTTGCAAGTGTGTGAAAGAACTAGAGACTAAAAACAAACCCCACACTCTGACCTTAGAAGCCCTCGAACCCCAAACCATCCACCCTGAAAAAATCCCGAACCCTTGAAAACTCCACAGTCGCACAACTTATCGGTCAATGCCGGCTCCACTCAATATGCCTCGGCCATGTCCATGCCGCAGTCACCGCCAAGGACGCCATGGATCAGGCCTGGCACGTGGATACACACATATACACACGGGGGCTTTAGGGTTGGAGGATTTAGGGTTCGGAGCTTGGAGCTTTCGGAGTCCCATGCGAACCTCGAGAGTCCTTGAACAAAGCATCAGGATCAGAGAAAAGTGTGACACCAAGAGCACAAGACACGAAGCACCTGTCCCCAGCAGCTGCAAGATGCCTTTACTCTCTTCGGATTCACCTTGCCTGCGTCCTGCCCCCACGGCACCGTGCTGTGTGGACTGCACGAGAATAACCTTAGGCTTAGAGAGCACAGGGGAAAGGCAAGGGCTGCCCTGACGCGACCGGTCAGTTCACCAAAAAACAGGTCCCTTCTGGCATACCCGTGATCCAACGGCCGCGTCTACGTAGGGAACCATGGGACAATAACTTGGAGAACTGACTGTGTATGTGCGACTCTTGCCAACGCTGCATGCTGTCTTCAAGATCTCTGAGGGATCAGCCCCGCACAAGCGCATGCGTCGGGTGAGGTGTCTGAAGTTCATGCGCTGCTTGGCCGTGGACTACCAAAACTTGTGCCCGGACAAGGCACCAGCACCAAGAGCCGATGACAACCGATGTTCCCTATGACTGTTAGACTTGGCAGAACTCCGAAACCAGCCCAGCGGCATGCTGTAGCCAGGGAAGGGCTGTGGCGGGAAGATGCCCCAGGAGAGGGAAATGGATTCCTCGTTCTTCGTGGGTTCCCGAGGATGGGGTGAGGAGGGGGTCAAGACTTCCAGGCTTGGGGGAGATGAGAGATGGACCAGAGGCCTTTATCATCAACATCCCAACCCCCCGCCCTCTCTCCCCACTCTCCCCAAATCAAGCAAGCTTGGGCTCTTAACCCAGGGTTTCTTCCTATTTCGGGTTTTGGACTTTAGGCCGGCAGGCGGCGGTGAGGGTTGCCAGCTTGCTGCACGAATTGCAAGATTTGCCTTGGCCCTCGAAGTCTGACTCCTGCGCCACAACACTTGGGACTTTGGTGGTGGGCTTCATCTCAGGGCTTTTGCTGAAAAATGTTGGGGTGGATTTTGCCTTTTGCAGATGTTGACTATGGCCTCAAGCAGGATGATGCTCCCGAATCCAAAAGCACCTGGTGCGTAACCGTCTTAACCCAAACTATCCCCAGCTCGAACCCCGACCCCGCCTGCGCCGGCCGCCCCGCCATGCGGCGTGCATGAGGGGTGGCAAATGTCGCAAAGAGCAAGAGCACGCAAAGCGCACTCATGGCTCCAAAGCAGAGTCTTTTCACAAACAACTTGGATTTATCAGGCAACGAGGCCTTGGGCCACAAGTGTGCGTGCGTGATTGTGCGTGTGTGGCAAGCAGCAGGCAATCAACAAGCGTCGCCTGAGATGCAGGAGAAGCTTTTCCAGAGCCCCCCCCCCCCCCCCCCCGAACTACCCTAAACTCACCGAACCGGGCCCCTCCTCAAACCGGAGCGGGTTCGCAGGCCTTCGCGAACAATTTCTGCCAAACCGGGTGCATTCCGGGTCATGGCATAGCCTGGCTGGGCTTCTGGGGGGGGTCTGCCCTGACCCCTGTCTAGGGTAGGGCTATGGGACACCTTCACGGGCTCAAATCCGAAACCGCGAGGCAAAGAAACGGTGGGATCTCGAACATGGCATCCCAAACCTAGCCCATGTTGTGGTGCCAAAATGTCCCAAACACAGGGCCCGCACCATGACCCACGCGGTGGGCACCGAAGTCGAAAACGGCATGCCTCACGTTTTTCTGAGAGCATAGGGCCACTGGGTTCCTTTATGATGTTGACTGGGCTTGCCCTGTCGGTGACAAACTTCCCTACGCGATGACAAATTCAAATCTTCGATCTGCAACAGTTGTATAAGAGGCAATGGGACGCCCTGCGTGTGGTGATGCTCCTACTGGTTGCTTGGTTGCTTGGTTGCTTCGCAGTGATGAAAAGTGGTTCTGATTGCAAGACATTCGAGCACGGTATCATCAATGAAAAGCAACCCTCTCCATTGCAAGAGTTGTTAAGCCCGGCAAGTGCAGATCTTGGTGGGCAACTGACAGGATGCGGCTTGAAGGAAAAGACCTGTTTTGTGCTCAGGGACATGAGCTTCTTGCACCTGCGACTCCGTGATGATGTACCCTGAAATCGGAAACTACCTGATACGTCCGTCCCTCTTCGCCCCCTGAAGAAACCTTCAACCCTCTGAACACCTATCAGCCCCGAATCCCTGAACTTCACTCAGGCCCGCGGCAGGGCCACCAACCTCTCCTGCGTGCACCGTGATCTTCAAGCCTAGCTCCTTTCACAAGTTCAGACGCTGCATGCACTTCCAAGTATGCGAGCAGGAGATTGTGTCTGTTCCAGTCTTACATGCACATGTGTGCAAACTCTCTCTCACACAGACAACCTGATAGGAGCCACGAACCAAAAGGCGGAGGCGTGTCACGTGCACCCAAAAACACGCAAAGATGTACATATGTACATACATACATACGTACATACATACATACATATATACTACATTCATACATTCATACATTCATACAGTTTCATACATACATACACACATACATACATACATACATACATACATACATACATACATACATACATACATACATACATACATACATACATACATATCTATATATATATATATATACTCTGTGTGTGCATGCATAAGAACAGGTATACATATACGTGTATATCTAAGAATATATATGTATATGTATACATATATATATATATATGTAGATAGATAGATAGATAGATAGATAGATAGATAGATAGATAGATATACGATCAACTACCATCAAAAGAGTCAACGAAAGAGAAAAAAAAACGAAAGAAGCAAGGCTGTCATCATGATAGCAAGGGGGGGGGAGCCACCTTCGCCCGGGCGAACGCCTCCTCGTGGCCCTTGGGGTCATCACCCACTTCCTTGCTCCAGCTGCGAGCTCCCGCAGCATAAAGGGGCCGTGCTATAACAGGGCACCCAAAAACGGACCATTTTGTAGAGAACTGGCCAAAAACACGTCTGCGTGTAGCTCAACGATGCTCCAAAACACAGACAGTCGCTTCTGGATTCTGTGCGGAACATAAGATGTGGGGCACCTGTCTCTCAAATCAAGCAAGCCTGGCAGACTCTCAGTCCAACCAGCAGCCCTCCAAAGACGCAACCCAGTGAAAACCTCCTCAAAACCTGCCAATCCAAGATCCTGCGATCTACAGTGGCCTGTTCCTGTTGATGGTAACAGTGTGATCAGCTTGGAACTGTGTTCGACATAAGGCTCATCACAACGCGGGCCGAGAAACCCCGGCTGCCACATCCACACCGACCACAGCACACGGGTAGGCGTCGCGGTGCTTAGCCGCCATCCTGGGCTTGGACTCATTGACTCCCCTTACTCAACAACCTAAGCCAGGCTCCCAACTCTTCCGCGTTTCCCTTTTTACATTCGGGCCATGATGTCCTGGCCGGAAAGCGGAAAGGCTCAGCAAAACTCTCAGCGTTTCTCTAAACCCGAAGACCTAAATCCAGCAGACCCCAGCACAAGATCTTATGCAGGGCTCTGGGTGGCATGTCACTGAGCTGAATGAGCTGAAAGGGAAACGGAACAAACCAAAGTGAACGAAGTTAAGGGAAGGTTAAGGGTCTGCGCTGCGCTGTCTCTCGATATCTGAGGGTTGTTTTCCCACCCAGACAGGGCTTAGGGTTCAAGAGTTTAGGGCTTAGGCGTAGAGAACTAGATAGGGCAGAAGCCTCCAGTTGGGACTGGCGGCTCCACGCACTGCATGGACCAAGCTGGCTGGAAGAAGATGCAGCAAATGATCTGGTTCACGACCTCAGTTCCCATGGCTAAGGCGGCGGGTGGATCAAGAAGCTAGATCAGCCTTGCTCTTAACTTTCTTTAACCATCGCAGGGAACAAAGAACCGGCAGAATACTGCACCATCGGATGCGACCCTGTCGAAAGCTCGGCAAATCCGACTGGAGGTAGGTTCCTACGTCAGGTAAGTGCTCCACCACGCCATGGGCAGCACCTTTGAAGGGGAAAAGGGCTGCGCCCCCTCTTCAGGTAGATTTGTAGAGCTTTGCAGAGCCAAGATCACAACCTCAAGTCCTCCATCCCGCCATATCGGCCTGAAATCTGCAGACCTGCCGGAGAACAAAAGGCCGGAAACCTCTCATCCAATTTCAGAAACAAAAACAACCTTTCAAACCCACAAGGAGAAGCCCGGGGCACAGCCCTTCCGCAGGCCGCGTGTCACTGCCGCAAAAGCTGGCTCGGGGTCCACGACCTATGCTCTTTCTGAATGAGCTTTATAGGGCTATTTGGGATTGCATGAGAGAAGGCACAAGAATTCGGGGTCGAGGTCGAGGGTTCGAGCGCGGCCTCCCCCCCCCCCCCCCGCCCCCTGCACCTACACTGCCCTTCCTCCAAAGCCTACCCCCCCTTTCGCTCCCTGCACCTGTCCAGGCGCGAAGATGTCGCCCCCAGTGAGCAGGTGGGGCGAGTAACGAACCTGCAAGGTGGAGGGGAGATTGGGATCCGGACCGGTTGGAGTTCTTTGGGCCTTTTTCGCCAATGTTGAGGCAAGGAAGCACAAAACACCGTGAAGGAGCGGAGGAGTGGGACCCCGATTGTTCACCTCACGACTGTCCACTCTCTGATCACAGCTTCAGTACCTCGCAAGGCAGTTCTGCGAACTGCCATCGATGCATTTTATCTGAGGGGTTTCGAAGTGAGGGTTGTTTAAATACACATGCTTGCCACAACCTGGCCTCATCTTAGGCTTTGGAAGCCCATCTCGCTGCACTCAAGTGGCAATGGCCCATGCTCACAGAAACCACCGCATGAGTTCGGGTCCGTGAGGACCTTGCCCACAGCGGCCTCCGTGTAGACGATGCCCTGCGCAGCTTGTGCCGCGACAAATCGCACCCCAATCGCCTTGGCAAAGCAGCGGCCTTCAGTTGGG